AAGTTGTTTTAGATCACAAATGTATTTACACCGAATTTGAATATTTTAACTTTTTAGCATTTTAAAGTAAATTAGTTACCAGTCGTGAAGTGAACTTTCGCAGAGGTGAACAACTTGTGTTTCGCGCGCTCATATGACCTTAGCAGTTGCGAGCGCCGTAAAACCTTATACTACTAAACTAAAGGTCATATGACATGAGCGCACAGGACACACCAAACATTTTCAGTTTGTTGGAAATTTTGAATTTAGCCCGCGTGGCAGCTGAAGCCTACTTTTATCAATTTTGGACCACCAAGGAATCTTTATCATGCACAACTTGCAAACGGGACCTCCGAGATTTTTCACACTTGTCCGAGAAGGCTAGGTGTAAATCTTTGCTACCATAAATAATATAAGATCAGGGATGAAAGACAGCAGTAAGAAGGAACCAAGGAGAAGCAGTAGAAAGGCTGCAGAGTCAGGAGCCGAGAGGAGGGGACAAAAGAGGAGACTGGGTTTGGGCAGAAAGTGGAGGCAGAAGCAGATGACAGAACATTGGTAGAGAAAAGGAAAGGATGTGAGAGGAGAAAATTCTCTGTCGCTTTCCGGATTCAAACCCGGTACCAATTGAATAAGAGGTGAACACCTTTACCTCTAGGGCACGAGAGCACCCAATTTGTTTTTGAGATCATGTTTTTATTTGTTAGAGGGGCCTATCTAATAATTGTAAATTAATTTTGCACCGAGAAGTGTAGTGTTTCTCACCTTTTACATGTTGCGTTGTATGCTGCACTATTGATGAGGAACCCTGGTGTGGCCTTTTTTGACATTAGTTATTTTGCAGATTACTATGCTGTTTAATGGGATCACAGTGTCCTTCCAGACAAAGTTGTTTGTTACCAGTCATGGACAAAGTGAAAGATGTGTATCTTAAAAAAACAACTGGGAGGTATCAATATCGTGGGAGGGAGAAGGGGCCACGCCCCCTCGTATTTTAATATATGCTCCCAAATTTTGTAGTTTTGCAATTTGGCTTGAGATTTTTATGAGAACCATTGATTTATGATGGGTTTTGTGGATTTGCATTCAGCAACAAATTAAAATCTATGTTGTTTTGGCTTATAAAATTGGTGCATCTGCGTGTGGGAGTGATGGTAAAAATTTACCTCTCTAATTTCATGTCATGGTTCAGAAAATTGAAGACCTTTTGTACCTTAGCCCACTCAGAAGAGATTTAAGAAGGTGGGGTTGCCTGGTTTCAAAGGTAAAATTAATGAGAAAATGGCCTCCAAAGTTTGGTTATTTCCATAGCTTGATAGTCCAAGAATCCCGAAAACATACATTTTTAGTACCTTTAATCAATGTTTTTCAATAAAATCCACCCAGAAATGTGTTCCTAATTGGATAACAACGGTGTTAAGCCGAAAAACAAAAATTTGATAAAATTGCCAAAACTGCCAGTTTCTTCAGTTTCATTATTTTGATGAGCGCCTGATTTCACCTCCCTGCCTCACATGTCTTCCTCACTTCCTGTCAACTCTTAGCCCCTTTTGGACTCATTTTGCTAGTTCAACTTACGTCAATGTGTTCAGGACTTACGTCAATGTGTTCAGGACTTACGTCAATGTGTTCAGGACTTACGTCAATGTGTTCAGGACTTACGTCAATGTGTTCAGGACTTTAAATTATATTTTTCCCCAGAAGTGAAAAGTGTGAAAAATTGATATTTTAGAACCAACTCTCAACCTCGCCAGCTTGTAAATCGAAATCAAAAGTCATGTCTCCCTTTCACTCTTTCTTCTTGCTCTTATCTTCCGTTTTCTTTTCCCTGCCTTGACCATCGAATGTTAAATTAGTTTGCTGTGTGCACCCTCCCCTCGCCTCCTCCCCTCCCCTCGCCTCCTCCCCTCCCCTCGCCTCCTTCCTTCCCCTTCACTCTCCTCCTCCATCCGTCCTTAGAGCTTCTGGTTGAGTCTTGTGTGTGTGTGTGTGTGTGTGTGTGTGTGTGTGTGTGTGTGCGTAGGTGGTAGGAGGGGAGGGGACCACAAACTAGTTCAACGTTGGATGGTTAAGGCTGGGAACGGGGGGGGGAGTGCTGGGATTGTGAATGCTTGTACTCGTACTTTAAAGAAAAAAACCCTAAAATGATGGAAGGACTCGCAGGACTGAGCTGGTTTTAGTCTTTAGACTCTCACCACCTTCCCCCTTTCGATCGACATAAGTTAAAAAGTTTTGTTTGGTTTTAAAAAATTTTAATTAATGTAGATAATTAAATAAAAGTTTTCTCTCATGTGACTCACTAAATGTAACAGATGTCGGTCAGGATTTTTTTTTTAAGGCAAATTTCTATTTTCTGTTGTTGATCTTAGCCTTTTAAAAGCTTTCCCTAAGTACATAAATACTCAATTTGCTGTTACCATACCTTGCTGGTATCACTTTCATTTGTCATAATTTCATTTTTTATTTTTGAAAAATTTTTGGTGGAATGAATTAGTGAATTTCTGGTTGCTTGCAAGTGAAATATTTTTGGGGAATCGTGGTCTATTTCACATTAAGCCTTAGAATCCTCAGGTTTTAGTTTTATATTTGAATACTTTTAGGACATTCAATTTGCACACAGTCAGAACCGTCTGTATCTCACACTCCATGTAACCATGAATTGGAGCTCTTGCTTTCCTCTGGTTGTCTCCATTTAAGTTTGCTCCTTGTGGGTGGTTGGCGGGTGCTCTGGTGTGGTTTGCTCCTTATTTCCTACCAAACAACTATCGTCCTTATCCCTCCTCCTTCTTTTTTATGTTTGTTACTCTCTTGTAACACCTGTTTTCATCGGCACTTATATGACCTTATTGTGTTGCAAGTGACGTAAAACTCTAAACTAAAACTGATCAAGTTTGCCCCTTATCCTGTAATACTTCTTACTTTCACTAATGTTATAATATTTTGACATCACATTGAAAATATTGACAGTAGACTGAGTGTGTGCACAAAATCCCAGTGATTTCATAATACTTAATTTAATACAATGTGTCTTCCTCAAGTGAACAGGGTTATTTTTGTCTACTTTTGTAATTGCTGTTTCAGTTTTGAGAGACGTAGCAGTAGAAAGCTAACCTGTTTCGTGGACGAGCATGATTGCTGGTAGCTGGTAGCATGGCTTCTTTGTATGATTCTATTCTTCGCAAGCTGCTGCCAGACTTTGATGAGGACAGGTGTGGTGAAGGACAGTTTGTAACTCTATCAATCACAGCTAACATGACACAACATATGCAAATTAAGCAGTTTTATGCCGAAAAGTGTTTGCCTGGCATCAAGTAATTTTATTTGGCTTAAAAAGTTCATTGAGAAAGGGTTGTTTTGGTTTTTTTCTTTCTATAAGACAAACTTCCAAGTCCAGTGACATTAGAGCACTTTTTGGTTTCCATAATTTTGTCTTGTATTCACATTCTCATAAGCAGTCAGTGTTGATATTTTAGGCTGTACCATTTATTGTTTGGGTTTCAATAATTTGAGTTTGATCAGAGCAAAATTGCTTGTGCCTTGTTTTGATGTTTTGCTGTGTTTAAAAAATTACAATATTTGTGATTTTATTATTATAATGAAACTTCACCTTTGCTGATTCTATTTAGGAAAGAAAGCATTTTGGTACTTTTTGGTATGTTTTGTTTTGTTTTAATTTCCTTTGCTTGTTTTGTTTGTTTCTGTCACCTGCCTTGGTTTGACCTGTAGTTCACTGAAAATGTGAAGAGATAGTGATAGAGATGTTGCATGGCTGCCTGCATGTCCTCATGTTGATGTCTTTTGTTTCCTCACTTACCCTGCAACCAAAGACGTTAAATGGAATAGGGAAATCTTCTGTTAACACCTTTGCATTCTATTAATCTTCTTCTTCATTAAAAAAATCTTACAAACTAATTTGGCTATTATGTGTTGGTGTGGTTCAAATATGAATATGTTACTGACATCTGACCGTCTCCCCCTTTGAGCAGAGACGACAAGAGATACAAAAGTTCAGCATCGGCAGTGAGACCCCCCAGCATGCAGGACTACGTGGAGCACCGACTGACAGAGCTGCACTACTCGGCAAAAGACTACCGATTCTGCCCGAAACTCTTCGGCATCATCACAGCAGTTCTGCTCATCGTACTAATGCCTTACATTCACATCGGTAGGTCTTGTCAGGAGGCTCTCAGGGTGGGAGAAAAATCTGGGTCATTTTACATGTTGTTAACCCTTTCGTGCTTCACCAGGCATAGTTTTGGATTCCCAGGGACAGAGTAGCCCTAGATTTAGTGGTCAATTTTAGCTTAGATTCTATTCCAATCCACTTATCCATGTTAAAATAAAGGTCATAATATAATTTTGACTTTCGGGTCAAGTATTTCCACTGAAAATTGGAAATTTTGTTTCAGTTTTGAAAACGCGATGTCGTAGTTTATTCGACTTTGTTTTATCGCGATGCCAAAATTATAGCCCGGACTCCAGTTTTTGTGATTTTACACAACAAAATCTATCATTATTTTGCCCACTAAAGAAATGTAGGACTCTTTTTCATAATATTGATACGACTGGACTCATATTGTCAATGCACTGTTCACGGCGTCCGAAATTCCGTCTCAGCGATCTTTTAGTTAGTCCGGGCCCCCCGCGGTAGGCCATAGATTAGCGGCAGGTGACCTGCAATTTCACGCGTCAAGTCGGGGATTGACCGGGGTCAACTCGTGCACAGCGCTGTCCTATCTTGTCCTTATCAGAACGCGTTTCTTCCCCTAATTTCATGAGCCGTAAAATGATGCTCACTCTACCCCTAGAATCTATTTCTTCACCAATTCCGCTTCGTCTACGTCTTCTTGATATCTTGTGAAAGTTTCAACAGTTTTCATTGATTCGTTTGGGAATAATAACAGTTTTAAATTGTGAGTGTTTGAAACAGTACCCCACCACCTCTTTAACTGCCCTGCACTTTGTGACCTGCGTAGCACCTACCTACCTGCCTCCCCAGACATCGGAAACACTCTATACAGCGACAAAGCACAGCTGATTAAAACCTGTCAATTCTTTGCCATATCGACAGACCGAAGGGCTAGAACCCAAATGGCCGCTGGATCGGAAAAGTAAAAGTAAAGTAAAGTAAATTGTGAGTGTTAAGTGATTGGAAGCGCCGATAATAATGTTATCTCTTCAAATTTAATTACAAATCATTCGAGAATGGAACGATGGTCTTTATTTCTGTTTGCGCGGTGTGATAGCCATCAAATCATATTTTCTAATGATGTGAATTTTGTTTTTCCAGCACTTTGCAGTGACTGGCTATCAGTTAGTGAATTGTGTTCCTAAGTAAAAATCGTTAAACTGCAATGGGCCAGTCACACATATGAGAGGCATAGAGTCTCTGAATGGACTTTGTCGTGTGTGTTTGTGTTTAAATTTAACTGTCAAACAAAACAAGTACAGAAAGCCCCGACTATGTAAGACAATGGCAGGAGATATTCTCTTGATTTATGGGATTGATGTGAGGGACGAAAATGAACAGTCGTATTCCGCTAACATTTGTGTCAAGTGTTTTACCGCGATTTCAACTATCAAACGGAGATATGGTGTTACGTCACGTCAATTTATGCCGCAAAAAAGCAGTTGACACCAGTAGGAACATGTAGTGTGCGTTTGGCAATAGCAGAAATGTGAATTCCTTCTCCGTTTTGTCGGTACCGCTTAGGTGGCTGCATACAAAGATCCATTTCAAGCTAACATCGTAAAACACCCCAAGCATACCTCCCTCCATCCCCATGTATGCAAGGAACTAACAAACACAATTTGTACGGAAACAAGAAAATACTCTGTCGAAACTGCAAAAATTGAGGAGGCAAAAGGAATGGAAGCAATATTCAATCTTCTCAATGAAAGATTTAGCCATGTTCACACTGCAATATCAAATCTCAAACCAGTCGAACTATTTTCACTTCCACAAATCTTCTTAGCAATCGACAATTACATGTCCGCATTCAGACGCTATTTCCCCGCAAAGTTATCCCAAAGCCATACATATCATAACAAAACTGTATTCCACACATACAACAACACATGTTTGCTCTCGGGCTTTTAGGAGAACAGGACACAGAAAGCAGTCACCAAGTGATCTCAAAACTGGAAGCCAGAGTATGAAGGATCCCAAACCAGATAGACATAATGCGTTTTATTTTTGTGTCGCATCTCCTGCAAATAGCTCCCTCATTGCGTGCTGCTGGATATGTTTAGAAAGAAAAATTGTATAAATGTATACTTTTATTCTGTACATGTTCATTTCGTGAAAAGAAATCGGTGCTGTATATTGAAGATACGTCAGTAGATCATTATTCAGGAGGATACACAATCCATTGGATACAAAAAGTCCTGAGTGCAGGGAAGTGTTTTGGCTATCATGCTCATGACAAGTTCCATGTTCGTGCTGGAAACAAAATTTTGAGTGAGTCAATTTCTAAACACATTTTCCTGTCTTACGTGGCAGTTTTGTAAATATTTATCGTTAGGCTTATAAGTTATTAGTCATTCAATATGTGTTTGTTGTTTTGACTAACTATAAATAGACATACATTTTAAGAGCATCTAACTCCAAAACGTGAGCAGCCATGGTATTGCTATTTCGTACCAATAAAGAGGTTTACTTGCTTTCTCTAAAGAACAAACTTGTGTTCACGTATGATATTTTTTGTTTGTGTAAGACGATAAAACATGTGTTGAAAAATTCATTTCACCGGCTACCGACGCAGGTAGCGGGAGGGCGGGTTAGTGAACTCTGGGTGACCGGCCCGCCGTGACCCGGTCACTCCATCGCCGATCCAACTAAAAGAGCGCTGTCTGTACGCCGTGTGTTATTGAGAAATCAATATTTTTGAGTGCTAGATCTAGGTATAGATCTAAATTGTCAAAATATTTTTTCTCCCCAAAATCACTACTTTTTGATGAAATTACACAAAAAGTGCCACTCAAGACATGTTTAGGTTTATTCCAAATGCAATTCTGAATAATTCCATATAAGATACGAGTTGGTTTGTTTCTGTTTGTGATCGTTTTTCAAGATTATAAAAATTATATATTTTTTTCAATATCGGATGTTATGTTAAAAATGTACAAATATTATGGAATGTAGGTAAATAACTGCAAACTTTTGAATATTTTTCAGTTCTATATTCATTTATGGTTATTTTGATGTATCATTTGACTAGTTGCAAACATATTTTTTGAGTTTCACCAAAGATTATTAATTTTTTATTTTCAAATTTTATCCGCATCCAATCAAAATTGTGTTGCATAATCGTCTCTTACAGGAACCAAAGTTGAAAAATACACAAATAAACATTACAGATGTATACTACAAACCATACTGAAAATATTGGTATATAATACATTGATATTTATGTGAATTTGTTGCCCCAAAGACCTCTTAACTGCCCACTAGTCATCATCTCATTCGCTCTCCCAAAAAAAAATTTGTCCACAAGCCGAAAATGATACGTAGCGAATGAGTTAATGACCAATTTAATCAAGTTTTTGTCATTTAAAAATTTATTACCAAAAAAGGGCCCCCGGCATAGTGGATTGACTCCCCTTGGAGATAAAGAGTTAAAATCTTCACTGTTCTGTGGACCATGCAGAATGGGACCTCCTGTTGGTGCCCATACTTGTAGTATATCTACATTATTGAACGTAGTCTAGAATCTTACATTGACCCTCCTTTCTCCCCCCCCCCCCCCCATTTTCCACCAGTTCACTTTCTTTTGTTGAAATTTTTGGGTTTGAAACAGTGAACATTTTATTGGCCTGTCACAATTGACTGTTGGGAAGGCTGTAAGTTGAATGTTCAGTGAAAGATTGAATTATGAACAGGCAGGTGTGAAAGGTTCTTCCTCCTTCAGTCTTCTGATAAATGATGGTACTACTGGGGAATGGTGGGAGATTTGTGACAATGTGACGGTGCTATGGTCTTATGATGAAGCGAACACCACGGGGAAGTTTTAACGTGTGTAATCTTACTCTCTCAGGAAAAATAAGTATTTGATCTTTTTGAAGGGCATGAAAGTTATCATGTTGAAAGTAACTGTTTTTTGAGAATTGTCTTGGAGTGGCTTACTTTTTGTGCACATCAATGTGACCATCAACTTTCTGAGACTTTCACAATATATGATCAGATGGCGTAAATCTCATATAAATGGGCAAGGGATTAAAAAAAACAACCCCCAAAAAACACAAAAACCCCCCAAACAACCTAGATCAATCTGTGGGTCTATTTATATTTTTAAGATTAAAAATTTTTGTTTTTTGTTTTGTTTGTTTGTGGGGGAGAGGGGTGGGTGGGTCTGTTTTGTAAAGCAGTCAGTTTTGTACTGTATAGAATACTGTTCCTCTGTGACAGGTGTGTTCTATATGAAGATCTGGGTCCCTGACAAGCCACCTATTGATAAGCGAGAGTGCACCTGTTCCTGTTTTGACACAATCTTCCGAGGTCAGATGTCACAGCTTTCTTTTTCTTTGAAAAGCATTGATCAATTTTGACAACTTTTACAGAACTGTAATTGTTTTTATTCTTACTCTGTGACAAGCATATATGTATATCAACTTTTCCAAATTTTACAGAACTAAGTGTTTTCACAGTTTACACGATATTCTTTACTCGAGATGTCAAGTAGAGTGTTGGTACATGGTGCTGTAACACAAAACTTCTGTGATTTATTTGTATAAATAATATGAATTTTGTATGTTGATTTGGTTCAGTGTCTGTGGTATAATAATTTTGAAAATATTAAAAATGCTTGATTATTTAGGGGATGATTCCAAGCTGTGAAGCTATGAATCAGCGACATATCTGTGTGTGGTCAAAGTGTGGGCACCTACTCAAGCGACAGGGTGCTCTTTGATAGAGAGAATTAATTAAACCGGGAACTGTGCTTTTAGAGAACCATTCAATGAAGCACTTCTATGTCCTGAGTTCTCAGCTGAATGAATGGCTAAAAATTCCTCCTGTTTTTGGACTTTACTAGCCGACAAATGCCACATTATTCTGAGAGGGGTGAAGCAATTGTAAAGTAATTTCCTGTCTGATAATGTTAGGAGGTTCTAGATTTCTACGTGTCTGTTTGTGTAGTATCCTTGTAGGTACTTTGTCTATCTGATACATTGTGTATTTCTACTATGTCTGTCGTGAGGGATTGTGTTTTTAGTTACAAATAAAATGCCTGTCTGCCATTGATACTTGCAAAGGTTGATTTATGTTATTTCCCTACTTCATTAAAAAAGATCTGAAATGGAAAGCCTTTTGTAAAATGGCCTCATCTTGAATTAGAAACTATTCCATGTAAGTTTGATCACTTGATTTGTTTTGGAATGAAAAAACAAAGAAGAAGAAAATGGATTGGTTGGGGAAAAAAGGCCATAAAGAACTGGTTCCAATCCTTATTTTCAGGTCAATATGAGACGCCGGGACCCACTCCGTATAAGCACGTGTATTTCAACTCGACGGCAACCACTTTCAAGATCTGGGTCCTGACCGTCATCTTCATCCTGCTGTGCTACGAGAGTGTCAAGTATCTGGTGAACGTCTATCAAACCTCAAGCTTCCGGCGTAACTGGCTGATACTCTACCTCATCAACATCTACCCCCACTACTACACGTGGTGGAGTTTCTTCAGGTACTGACGGGCCTCATTGCTGTGGAAGCGGCATAGGATGCTGGGGGGCGAGCGTGTCGGGTGGTAGTTTTTACATTTTGTTTAGTAAAGGTTTTGCGGCACTCGCAACAGCATAAGGTCATATGAGCGCCAAGGGGTCAATGTCAAAAGAGAAGTCCTTACAAGGAATCAGACTTATTCTGCTCACCTCTCTAGCCTCAACAGCACAAAGTCTGTTTCGAATTTCAAGGCACCCCGGAAATAGCAGGTCACAAGAGAGTGACAAACATACAAAAGAAGTAGAGGATAAATGACAATAGTAAGGATTAGGAAAGAAAAAGCAGCAGTTCCCTGTTGTAGATCAGGCACAGTTATGAGCGTGACATGAATCAGCCCATTTACTATTCTACTGTGCATGAACGAGAAATGTCCCCCCTTTGGGAATGACCTAAAGACACTTCAGTCAGTGGCACTGCCGCGGGGGGGTGTGGGGTTGTATGATGCTGATGGGCACGTAGGGTCATAAGATGCTGGGAAGATTTTAAGTAATAGGATGCCGGCAGCTGCATGTTGGGTTGTGAGATGTCGGGGAGCAAGTCGTGTCATAAGATGTTGGTCATGACAGATTGTAAGATGCAGGGAAAACATGTTGGATTGTTGGTGGCATGACAGATTGTAAGATGCAGGGGAAGCATGTTGGATTGTTGGTGGCAGGCGAGCATGTCACCTTGTAAGATGCTAATGAGTATGTCAGGGTTCTAGGATGACGAGGATATCCAGTATTAAAATGCAGGGGCGAGTATGTTGGTTTATAGGATGCCGGTAAACATGTCTGTTTGTAAGATGCTGGGAATATTTTAAGTAATAGGATGCAGGCAGTGAGCGTGTTGGTTTGCAAGATGTTGGGTAGGGTGTCGGTTCTTAGGATGCTGGTAGGATGTCAAGTTCCACAAAGGTTGGGTCTCTGAGTGCACCTGTGGAGAAGCCACTCCCTCTGAATTTTTATAAAATGGTTTAATAAAAAAAAAAAATTTAATTGTTTTTTTCTCATATAAGTGACACTGGTTAATAAGCCGCAACAGATTATGCAACAGAGATAGGTACATCTGAGGGTCACGGAAATACCAGTGAATGACATACAGTAACCTAACCTACAAGTTGCTCATTTTAAAACAGTGACCTTGCCTCTGCCTCTCTGTCACGCCAGTTCTATTCACAGCTTTGGTGTATAATTTGGATAATTCAGAGATAGGGTCGGGGAAGAGAGCACTCCACGTCTGATATGATTTATTCTGTATCTCTGGAAATAAAAACAATTTTTTGTGGTCATTTCCTTTTCAGTAATTGCAATGACAGCTCTGATCTTTTCTTCTCTCTACAACTATTCTAAAACTGATTGTCTTTCTCTCCATTCTCAATTGCTTTGTCTTTCTCTCCATTCTCAGCTTCTTTGTCTTTCTCTCCATTCTCAGCTGCTTCAATACCATCTATGTGTCATGTCCTCAACATTTACAACACCTCCTATCTCCCTCTGTTGTTCTCTCAACATCTAACACCTCCTATCTCCCTCTGTCGTTCTCTCAACATCTAACACCTCCTATCTCCCTCTGTCGTTCTCTCAACATCTAACACCTCCTATCTCCCTCTGTCGTTCTCTCAACATCTAACACCTCCTATCTCCCTCTGTCGTTCTCTCAACATCTAACACCTCCTATCTCCCTCTGTCGTTCTCTCAACATCTAACACCTCCTATCTCCCTCTGTCGTTCTCTCAACATCAACATTTGCTAAACCACCCATCCCTATCTCGTTCTCTCTTTACCACCACCCATCTCTATCTCGTTCTCTCTTTACCACCACCCATCTCTATCTCGTTCTCTCTTTACCACCACCCATCTCTATCTCGTTCTCTCTTTACCACCACCCATCTCTATCTCGTTCTCTCCCCAGCTATTACAACGAGCAGTTCTTCACCTTCTTCAGCCATCACATGTTCTTCTCCATCACTGAGCTGATAGTCACGGCCATTGTGTTGAATCTCTGCAGCAGGAAGAATGAGGTGAGCCCCGTAGCTGCTGTTTCCCCAATGACTGGCCGATGTTGATGAGATCAACACTTTCTTTGCCTACACACGGCTACTGCAGTCAACATGAACCCTGGAAATGCCGACGCTGAATGAACATGGGACATATTTTAAAAAGAAGGACCTCCTGTAGTTATTGGAACTCTTTTTGAGCCAGAGGAACGAAAAAGATTGTCCGTTATTTAACTTAGAACCACCAGTGATGGTGACTCTGCAAGTCAGTGAAAATGGCTTCGTTGGGTCCTCGGCAGTCTCCGAGATTTCTGGCAGATTTTAGGGGAGAAATGTCGAAATCATACATTTTTTTCAGAGTATGTTATAGCTGTTTAAAAGAGCTTTCCGAATATATATACAGTATAGTTTTCTGGTGTTTGTATCTCTATGTACTCATTTCTTACATCTAAAGGTGCACCCTTGATCCTAAAACTTTTCCCTGACATGTGCAAGCTTACCACTGACAGTAATAGGGTGAGCTCTGCTGAATGTGTTGGGTGTGAGGAAGAGAAAGAGCTGTGTCTGACAATTTGACTTGACCAGTCTGTACACCTTTATGAGGGCCGCTACTCTCAATTTGACTTGACCAGTCTGTACACCTTTATGAGCACTGCTACTCTCAATTTGACTTGACCAGTCTGTACACCTTTATGAGGGCCGCTACTCTCAATTTGACTTGACCAGTCTGTACACCTTTATGAGCGCTGCTTCTCTCAATTTAGTCGTACAGGTTGTTGACGTTAGTCCCAGAAACTTTAGATCTGTTGTTTGTTCAGGATTGTCGTCTTTGTCTTTTCTCTGTTTGGTCCAGGATTGTCGTCTTTGTCTTTTCTCTGTTTGGTTCAGGATTGTCGTCTTTGTCTTTTCTCTGTTTGGTTCAGGATTGTCGTCTTTGTCTTTTCTCTGTTTGGTTCAGGATTGTCGTCTTTGTCTTTTCTCTGTTTGGTTCAGGATTGTCGTCTTTGTCTTTTCTCTGTTTGGTTCAGGATTGTCGTCTTTGCCTTTTCTCCCCTTTCTGTATACCATGGAGTCTGCTTCATTTAAATGCAGGTCATCTGAAATCAGCGGTAAACCAAAAGAAAGTAAAAAGCCTTGATTTTTCTACTCTTATTAGAGCAACCTTTCTTGAGGAAAAAGAATTGTCTAAGACAGCCAGCCATTGTGAGGAGAAAAGTCGTCTTGGACAAAATGATTGTAATATCAGAGAAACACAAGGGGGGGAGTGGGAAGTGGCTGTTTGTATGGGTGGTTGTCTTTTACAGGTGCTTGTCTTATACAGGTGCTTGTCTTATACAGGCGGTTGTCTTATACAGGTGGTTGTCTTATACAGGTGGTTGTCTTATACAGGTGCTTGTCTTATACAGGTGGTTGTCTTGTACAGGTGTTGTCTTGTACAGGTGTTGTCTTATACAGGCGGTTGTCTTATACAGGCGGTTGTCTTATACAGGCGGTTGTCTTATACAGGTGGTTGTCTTATACAGGTGGTTGTCTTGTACAGGTGTTGTCTTATACAGGCGGTTGTCTTATACAGGCGGTTGTCTTATACAGGCGGTTGTCTTATACAGGTGGCCATACGATCAGCTTCCACTGTATGGTGTTACTTAAAAGCTGATTTTGTAACTGTTCCATTTTTTGGGGTGGGCCCCAGACCTTGAAAAAAGAAAAAGGAATGTATGTCTTGAGATATTCATCTTGTTCACATTGGCCATGTTACGTGCCTAGTAGGCCTACACAAACAATTTCTTTTCAGCGTTTCCTTTTGTGGATTGAAAGTGTACTTGTGTCCAGTAAACATTGACAATCATTAGTCCCTTTCAGAGAGAGGAATTTGGGATGTTGATCTCTCCTTGCCTAGCAGGATCAGGTGCAAAAATACACCCCCACTGTGCTCTGACCTACTGAAAGACTCGACCCTTCTCCTTGTGAATTAATATGTGGCACGACGTGGTGGAATCAGGCTCTTGTCGATTTTGGGCATATTGGATTATTGATATTATCTTAAAGCCTGTTTATTTGCCTTCCTTTTGGTAAAAAAAAAATTAATCTATGTTGAATAGAAGTCGAAATATTTACGATATTTACGATTGAAAGAGGTAAGGGTCGCCTGGTTTCAGAGGTAAAATTAGCGAGAAAATGGCTGCCAACGTTTGTTAACCTCCTTAGTATGAGAGTCCTTGGAATTTACAGTTTTTTGTGTCTTTAATCAGTGCATTTTAGTAAAAAGCCATACAAATTTGTGTTTTTAAATGGACATTAAAGGTGTTGACCTAAAATAAGAAAAAAATTGGCAGTCGGTACAAAAAAAAGCAAATTTCTTTAATTTCATTATTTGGACAAGTGCCTGATTTCATCATGATGCCTCACGTATCTTACTGGAATATTCAATGTACACACATGTGTGATATCTATCCACTCTTCAATGTACACACGTGTGTGATATCTATCCACTCTTCAATGTACACACACGTGTGTGATATCTATCCACTCTTCAATGTACACACATGTGTGATATCTATCCACTCTTCAATGTACACACATGTGTGATATTTGCTTTGACCTATCATGGATCAGAGATTTTCCTCTCTTCTTCTTTCTTCATCAAGATTCCCGTCATCAGTGAGCTAAGTGGCAATCCTTCAAAATGACGAGTTTTGTGTTTTATCAAATGAAATGCTAAACTGAATCCAGACTAGATGGGTAACTGGAATTGGAGGGTGCCACTGGTGGGTCCTACTTGTTTTCTTTCCCTCTGTTGTTTCTGTCTGTGTGGGTGGTTGGAGGGTGCCACTGGTGGGTCTACTTGTTTTCTTTCCCTCTGTTGTTTCTGTCTGTGTGGGTGGTTGGAGGGTGCCACTGGTGGGTCTACTTGTTTTCTTTCCCTCTGTTGTTTCTGTCTGTGTGGGTGGTTG